TAGAGATGAAGTCTTGCCAAGTTGCCCAGGCAGGTCTCGAACCTGCGGGCTCAGGCAATCCACTCACCTCAGCCTCCCAAAGGCATGGGATTACAGGCTGAGCCACCGAGCCTGGCTGAGATAGGGTCTCTTTATGTGACCCAGGCTGGTCTTGACTCCTGGGCTCAAGCGATCCTCCTACTTAGTGGCCATTGCGCCCAACCTCAGAGATAGGTATTTTAAAATGCACACACACACAGACACACACAATTGGCCCTAGAATTTCTAGTTTGCAACCTTCCAGACTTTCCACGTTTTTTCCCCTGTGACATCACACCTATTTCCACACTGTCTTTTTTTTTTTTTTTTAGTTGGAGTCTCACCCTGTCGCCCAGACTGGAGTGCAGTGGCTGCTCCCGGCCACCGCAGCCTTGACCTGCTGGGCTCCGGCGATCCTTCTGCCTCAGCCTTCCGAGTAGCCGGAATTACAGGCATGCACTACCACGCCCGGCTGAATTTTTGATTTATTGTAGAGATGAGGTCTCGCTGCCCAGGTGAGTCTCGAACCCGCGGGCTCAGGTAATCTACTCACCTCAGCCTCCCAAAGGCGCGGGATTACAGGCTGAGCCACCAAGCCCGGTTTCTTTCCACACTGTCAATCACTGTCTACAGCTAGGACATCTCAGATCCCGGATGTAAGTCCAAGCCTCTCCTGAGTTCCAGACCTGCGTCTCCACACGCCTCAGGCCCCCAGACCCTTCATACACACAAAGTCCCACACTGCACTCAGCAACAATTCCCAGGCCTGCTCACCCTCCAGGGGTCCCCATCTCGGGGACAACCCTACTGTGTCCTAGTCACCAGACCACATGTCTGGGAGACATCTGACAACAGGGGTGCCCTCTCGCTCCCCACATTCACCGATCCCGAGTTCTACCTTCCTGCCCCTGAATCTTTGCCCCACCCCCTCCTCTCTGTCCCCAAAGCCCTGGTATAACTCAGGCCTCTTGGCCTTCTGCTTAGACCGACGACCAGCCTCCTGCCTAGCTTCTCGGGCTCCTATCCATCTTCACACAGTCCTAGACAGTCTTTCCACACCCAGAGCTGCCCCTTTGTGGCTCCCCAGGACGCCAGGACAAAGTCTCAGCCCCCAGGGTATCCTCTGAGGCCCTGTGAGTTCTGGCCCTGTCCATACAGCGTCTTCTCTTCTGACAATGCTCCTTGCGTCCATGTTCAGGCCACACCACACAGTCATTAGAGGAAGCTTTGCACATGCTGTTCCTGCTCCCGGAATTACTTTCCATGGGTCTCTCTCCAGCCCACCTTCAACGGTCACACTCCAACTCAATCTTTAAATGTCACCTCACAGGCTGGGCATAGTGGCTCACGCCTATAATCCCAGCACCTTTGGGAGGCCAGGGTGAGAGGATTGCCTGAGCTCGGGCATTTGAGACCAGCCTGGGAAACTTGTTAAGATCTCATCTCTACAATAAATCAAAAAATTAGCCAGGCGTGATGGTGCACACCTATAGTTCCAGCAACTTGGAAGGTTGAGGTGGAAGGATCGTCTGAGCCCAGCAGATGGTGGCTGCGGTGGCCTTGGGTGTGCCATTGCACTCCAGCCTGGGCAACAAGGTGAGACTACGATTCAATAAATAAATAATAAATAAATGTCCCCTCACTGGCCCCTTCTCCTCCTCCAGAGACCATTAATGACACCTTTTGTCCCCTCTCGGGCAGACTTCTCTGCTCCCATGGAGCCCAATGGCACGTCCCTTGGCATCTGCGTTCTGTTACCTTACTATAACTACTACAATTGTCCTCTGTGTGTTTCCTTCCTTTGGCCAGATGGGCAGTTTCTTTTTTAATAAAGGGTTCATGCATGTTGAAAAATGGTAAGTCATACAGATGAGCAGTTTCTACATTTTCTTTTCTTTTTTTTAATTTTTTTATCTTTTATTTATTTTTTTTTAGTTCGAGTCTCACTCGACTGGAGTGCAGTGGCACGCTTCCGGTCACCGCAGCCTCGACCTGCTGGGCTCCGGCTATCCTTCCACTTCAGCCTTTCAAGTAACTGGAACTACAGGCGCGCGCTACCAC